CTGCCCGGGCTCACTCGGGCCGCGGCTCCACTCGAGGACGCGCGTGGGTTCCTGCAGGTCGAACATGTGCAGATCCTCGTACCTGGGGGGGAGGGGCGGGGCAGGCGCGTCACGTGGGGGAAGGAGAGGGGGCCCAGTCCAACCCCCGGCCCCGCCCACGCTCACGCACACGCCCACTCACAGCCCGAGCGAGTCCAGCACCCAGTCCTCCTCCTCCTCCTCCTTTTCCTCCTGTTGCCGCTCCGTGGGCGCCGCCATGTCTCCCTCGCGTCACTTCCGGGACACTCTGCCCTTCCCACTCACGTGGTCGCCCAAACCCGGAAGCAGAGGGGCGGGGACGGTGTGGCCTCAAGCAGCCGGGTGCGCATGCGGAGGAAGGAGTCTTGGGGCGCGTACGCCAGCTGCAGGATGCGCATGCGCGCGTGGAGGAGACGGAGGCGAATGCTACTGCTGCGCGGAGGACAAGGCGGGCGCTTCTCCCCCTACCCGTTCTGAATCCAGCGGGTGCGCATGCGCGCCAGGAGGAAGCGGCAGCTGCTTCTGTTTCCTCCCTGCGAAAGCCGCCCTGTGCGCATGCGCAGCATCCCCTCCCTAAACTGGATAAGAGTACACGCGCTATACTTTTCTGCAGCGAGGCTCTCCCCATGTGCAATAAGCAGATAAGCCAGGAGACTACATAAGGTCTCTTTTTGCACCAGAAGACTTTCTACCATGGTTATATTGGTTTCATACCTTCCAAAAAAAAGAAAAGAAAAAGGAACAGCTATTGGCATGCGTTGATGCAATGTGCTTCTAGCCCCTTGGGTAGCCAAAAATGAATGTTGTCCGCCGCTTGGGTTCCCTTGAGGCTGGCTGTGAACTTCACAGTGGTTTCTAGCACGGCATCCACGTCCTTGTCGGCACATTTCTTGAAGTCCTTTCCCAGAAAGTCCTGCCTGAACCTTTGTCAGTACTCGCACGGATGGTCGGGATGCAGAATGACGAAGAAAGCCCTGCACTCAAGAGCTTGTCTAACTAGTTGTTAACTTTTGTTGGATTAGCTGTACGGTTGGAATAAAGATGATAAAAGATCATAGAAAACGAAGGTGGGAGGGACCTCCGGAGGTCACATCCAGTGCAAGCCCCTGCTCCAAGCAGGACCAGCCCCAACTGCATCATCCCAGCCTAGACTTTGTCTAGCCGGGTCTTCAAAACCTCCAAGGATGGAGAGTCCTCCACCTCCCTGGTGCTCCAGTGCTTCACCGCCCTGCTCATGAGAAAGTTTTTCCTGGTATCCAAGCTCAACTTCCCTTGCTACAGCTCGAGCCCATTGCTCCTTGTCCTGTCATCTGCCCCAACTGAGACCAGCCCAGCTCCAACCTCTTTGCAGCCCCCCTGCAGGGAGGTGAAGGCTGCTATGCAATCCCCCTTGGTCTTCCCTTCTGCAGACTAAATCAGCCTATTCCCTCCTCTCCTCACCAGTCCTGTCCCCCAGCCCCCAACCATTTTCATCACCCTCCGCTGGACTCTCTCCAATGTGTCCACATCCTTTCTGGAGTGGGGGGCCCACAGCTGGACACAGGATTCCAGATGTGGCCTCCCCAGTGCCGAATAGAGGGGAAGAATCACTGCCCTCCATCTGCTGGCAACGCTCTGACCAGTGCAACCCCTCAGCCCGCTCCAGACCCGAGCTGCCTTCCAGTTGTTACCTCGGGCAACGAATGAGTCTGCGAACGAGTCTCATGAAAAGATGATGATATCATCAATATAAGATGATGCATAATCTTGATGAGGAGCTAACATCTTATCCATCAAACGTTGGAAAGCCGTTGCCACTCCATGGAGGCTGAGTGGCGTACTCTTAAATTGAAATATACCCCACGGGGTCCCGAAAGCTGTTTTCTTGTTGTCCCTAGCATTCATGGTTATTTGCCAGTAACCTTTTGTCAAATCTAGTATCACTATATATTTGGCCTGGCCGATTTTTTCCAGCATTTCTTCTACTTGAGGCATGGGAAAAGTATCAGAAGTTGCTACCTCATTAACCTTTCTAAAACCTACACGTGCCCTGATAGTGCCGTCTAGCTTTGGGACTATCACTAGTGGACTTCTCCATGGACTCTTTGACTCTTCCATAATATCTGCCTCCAACATCTGTGCGATTTCCTGTTTCACGGCTCTCCATAAGTGCTGTGGTAATCTTCTGCAATGATCTCTGCCGATATACCCCTGGGGTATCCTGATACCATGCTCTACGCCCTTGGCTCTACTGGGTTTTTCTCTAAATACGTCGGGAAATTTGGATATCAGCCGTTCTAGTTCTTCCTTCTGTCTAGTGGACAGTTTCTCTTCTATCTATGGGTCTCCTGTTATGAAGTCCAATTTTCTAGGATCTCCTATATCAGGGGCAGGCAATTATTTCAGGCGGAGGGCCGCTTACCGAGTTTTGGCAAACTGTTGAGGGCCGCATTTCCCTCTCTGGCACAGGGAAGCAGGAACAGAGGTTAGGCAGAGGTTTCTGGTTGGGAGGGCAGGGCTGGGCAGACTTTGCTGCTGGGTCCTGCCACTAGCTTCCTCTGGGTCCTACTGCCCCTGGCTCTTGTCATTTTTGACAGGCAGCTAGGAACAAATAAATATTAATTTTCTAAATTTGTAGGGGCCCCACAGGCTAGATAGAATCGCCTGACGGGCCAGATCCGGCCCCCAGGCCGTATTTTGCCCACCCGTGGCCTCTATGATCTAGATCTCCTATTGCTCCTTGCATCAACCATGCTTCCCTGTCATTCCACTTCTTCAGCATGTAAATGCGGTCATTTTGTTTCCTCTTAATGGGTCTTGTTCTTTGTACCTCATAATTTACAGGTCCCAACTTCCTAGTCACCTGGGAAGGGCCTTGCTACCTTCACAACACTTTATGGCTGCTATCTGGCAGCAACACCGAAACCCAATCTCCTGCCTTCATATCTCTCTCTTTGGTATGGGAGTTGCAATTTTGTTTTTGTCTCTGCTGGCTAAGTCCTAGGTTTTCGTGCGCTACTTCTTGTGCCCTCTCCAACCGTTTCTGAAGCTCTCGCACAAACCGGGGTTGTCTCCCTTCCTCTGGTGACCCTACGGACCACCCCTCACAAATAACAATGAACAACCCTCTCAGTTTGTGTCCACAAACTAGTTTGAATGGGGTACACCTCATGGACGCTTGGGGAGCCTCTTTGACTGCAAACAATAACGGGGGTAGTATAGACTCCCATTTCCGTGGGTCACCCTGAATGCAGGTCTTCTGCAAGCATACCCTTCAACGTCCGGGTGAACCTCTCTACTAGTTCATCAGTTTGGGGGTGGTATATGGAGGTTTTGAGCTGTTTTATCTTCAAAATTTTACACACCCCTCCTAACACTCCCAACATAAATGTCTTCCTTGGTCTGTTAAAATCTCTTGGGCAATCCCCACTCTCGTAACCCACTCTATCAACTCCTCTGCTATCTTAGGCGTTGTAATATTCTTTAAAGGTATTGTGTCTGGGAATCTCGTAGCGTAATCTTCCATCATTAGCACATACTGGTATCCCGCGTTACCCCTTGGGAATGGTCCCGCAATATCCAAAGCTATTCTTTCAAATGGATGAGCTGCCTGGGGTATTGGTATTAACAGGACGTTTGCGGGTTTATAACTGGACACTTTTTAGCATATCAGGCACTCCTTACAGTATTTTTTCCACAATCTTGTAGAGGTCTGGCCAAAAAACCCTTTGTTTCAACTGGGCTTCTGCTTTATCTCGGCCCAAATGTCCTCCCATTGGTAATGTGCGAGCAATTTTTAACAATGGTAACCAGTACTGTCTAGGCACCAGGATTTGAGCTGCTTCCTCTCCTCCCCTGCCTTTATCTATCTGGTGCAGTATCCCGTTTCTTACCTTGAAACGAGGGGTCATCTCCCCCAGCTCAGGTTTGAGCACCTCTTCCTCTCTCTTGGCTAGGTTTTCTTCCAAGATGTTTTGGGACAATGACTCCTGTTTTTGGTATTCTCTAAAATGTCCCTTCCCTATAATATCTTCAAGATCTAGTCCTTCCTCCTCTCCTTCTTCTGGCTCTTCCTCCTCCTCTATCTGTTTTACATAATCTCAGATACTTATTTCTCCCATGGCTTTTGCGACCACTTTTTGCAAGTAAGGCCAGTCTGTACCTAAAAGCATAGGGCAGGGCAGGGACTCAGCTAATCTTATCGCAATTTCTTCCATTTGGTTTAATACTGTCATATTTACCTTTTCCTGTGATATGTGTACGGGGCCCCATGTATACAGACCATACTGACCAGTGTTGTTAATTCTCCCATGTCTGGTGTCACTAGATCTGACCTCAGCATGGGGACAGCGGGTATCAACGACAGCAGGTGCAATTATGTCTCCTATTTTTACCTCGACTATGAGTTTGGCCTTGCACCACATGTGTTTCCCGAAACTGCAGTCCATCTGCTCTTCATGGGGAAACTCGTGGACCCCTTTGCTTACCCCTTTCTTGTTATAGTATCTCACTATGTGCCCTTTTTCTCCACACCTAAAACAAATCACCTCTCTTGAATCCCTCCAGATGTTTAAAAACTGCTATTATGTCTTCTCTTAAGTCCCTTTTCGGTTAGCTGAACATGCCTATTTCCTTCCATGTCTCCTCATATGACTTGCCTTCAAAGTCCTTTATCATTTTTGGCATCTGCCTCTGGACCGTCTTTAAATTCTCTAAAGTATGGGGCCCAAAACTACATGCAAGTACTCCCGATGAGGCCTAGCCAGTGCCAAGTAGAGAGGCACTATCACCTCTGGTGTCTTGCACCTAACACTTCTGTTGATGCAGCCTAAAACCATGTTGAGTCTGAATCAACTGTCCAGGAGCTTGTGGCCATTACTCCTGGTTCTCCCCTCGGGTGCCCTGGTGAACAGTTGCTCATCGATCCCTCCCCGGCTGAACAGTTGCTCACCGAGCCTTTGATGTACGCCCCTAGTGTAGCAGGTAAGCTGCTACCAGGTCCCTTCTCAGCCTCCTTTTCCTCAGGCTGAAGAGTCCCAAATCCTCAGCCTTTCCTTGTATAGCTTGGCTTTCTGATCATACGGGTGGCTCTTCTCTGGACTCTCTCAAGCTTGCCCACGTCCTTGTTAAAATGCAGCACGCAGAACTGGACGCAGTCCTCCAGCTGCGGTCTCGCCAGTGCTGAGCACAGCGGGAGAATCACCTCCTTGGTTTTGCTGGAGATGCATCGATTGATGCATGCCAGAGTATTACCTACCTTACTGGCTACAGCATCGCACCACCGGCTCATATTCATCCTGTGGTCTATTATTACCCCCAGATCCTTTTCA